GTATGTCCGGAATCACATCTTTTACAGACGGAACCAGATCACGGATTTTATGTAATGTGTTGAAACGGACCTGGATCTTGTGTTTATTCAAGATTTTGGAGATCTTTTTTGTGATCCCAGCAATGTAGGGTAAAGTGATGGTTTTGAAAGGCTCCTCAAGAGGGTTCTTCTTCATGGTTTGAGTGATAGCTTTGCGGATTGTATAGTCGGAGTAACCATTAGCCCTAAGAGCTTGGTGTACGTGCTTGAGTTCACTGCTTATGTGTTCCTGGTCGGATATGCATTGGGCTCTATGATACAGAGTCTTGATGAGAGAATTCTTCTGTGATGGATGGTGGTGGGAATCCGGTTTCAGATAAGCATCCGTATGGGTAGCTTTCCTGTAGACAGAGTGGCTCATTGAACCATCAGGTCTCTTTTTAATTAGGACATCCAAAAAAGGTATCATGCCATCTATTTCGACTTCCATGGTAAATCTGATGGCTGGGTGTATGGAATTGATGTGGTCGAAGAATTTGTCTAGAGCAGGCCGGCCATGTGGCCAGATGACAAAAGTGTCATCCACGTACCTCTTCCATAAGGTTGGGCGCAGAGTGGCAGTCTGGATGGCGTCAGTCTCAAATTTCTCCATGAAAATGTTAGCTATAACTGGAGAAAGGGGGGAGCCCATTGGGGTGCCCTCAGTTTGTTTGTAGAAAGTTCCATTCCAAGTGAAGTATGTATTGGTTAAACAGTGTCTCACCAGGGGGGGTACCTCAGTGTTTAGTCCTTGATGAACCAAGTCTTCAATGATTGCAATGGTGTCAGGTACAGGAACCTTGGTGAATAAGGAAACTACATCAAAACTGACAAGCAGGTCGTCTGGGGACAGGGAAATACCCTTGATTGTTGATACCAGGTGAGTAGAATTTTGTACCGCAGAGGTGGTCTTTCCAGTGAAAGGACGCAGGATTTCAGACAAAAAACGAGCTAGTTTGTAGGTGGGGGAGCTGATAGTAGAGACTATGGGACGAAGAGGTGTATCAACTTTATGTATTTTTGGTAAGCCGTATAATCTTGGTGGCCTGGCAGCAGGAAAGCTACCCATACGGATGCTTATCTGAAACCGGATTCCCACCACCATCCATCACAGAAGAATTCTCTCATCAAGACTCTGTATCATAGAGCCCAATGCATATCCGACCAGGAACACATAAGCAGTGAACTCAAGCACGTACACCAAGCTCTTAGGGCTAATGGTTACTCCGACTATACAATCCGCAAAGCTATCACTCAAACCATGAAGAAGAACCCTCTTGAGGAGCCTTTCAAAACCATCACTTTACCCTACATTGCTGGGATCACAAAAAAAAAAAGATCTCCAAAATCTTGAATAAACACAAGATCCAGGTCCGTTTCAACACATTACATAAAATCCGTGATCTGGTTCCGTCTGTAAAAGATGTGATTCCGGACATACAATACCCTGGTGTCTACAAACTAAGTTGCCTCTGTGGTAGTAGTTACATTGGAGAAACCAAACGCCATATCTCGGACCGCATTCGTGAACATAAAGCAGACCTTAAACACGGTAGGACCAACACCTCGGCCGTAGCAGATCATTGTTCTAATTCAGTAGGCTCACATGCCATTGACTTTTCCAAGACGGAGGTTCTTTGTAAGCCATCTGGCTTCCATGAGAGATTCGTTCATGAGGCTATCCACATATACAAACACAGAGACAATTTCAACCGAGAAGATGGATTCTATCTTAGCAATCATTGGAAAGATTTGATAAATCATTTCAGTTCTTGATTGATTGTTCACGCTTACAGTGCCTTTCAGACAGCATACATAAAAACAAATTTCGTCTCCCCCCTCCTCTTTTCAAAAAATAGATGGACTAGTCCTGGCAAACTGCCATCGTTGCGCGTGACGCAAACGTTATTTTTATATATATAAATAAATATGCCGTTTTCAAAATAAATTTATGCAAACCGACACACCTGATGATGACCGTTTGAGTTATGGTCGAAACGTCGTGAGAATTTTTTATTGTTTTATATATATTTTGTTATTTTGTTGTTTCTCTTCAACGTGACTTTACCGAAAAAACTAAGAATATGAATTACTGCAGTCACGAAAGCTTTAAATCAAAATTTGTTTCAATTAATAAATGTCCCCACAAGACCCCAACCTAAAAAATCCGGGACAGTCAACTCTGCTTGACGTCCTATTGACAAATGCCCCTCACAATTTCGCACTGACTGGTGTTCTGGGTAATAACCTTAGTGATCACTCCTTCATTTTTGGTGTGAGATCATCAGTCAGACCCAAAGCCCCCCCTAAAATTGTTGAGAAGCACTCTTTGAGGCACTTCAGCACTCAGGCATTTACAAATGATGTGCTTCACTCGGATATTGATAAGGTCTGTGATATCCCCAACCTGACTACGGCTTGGGAGACTTTCAGGTACACGTTTCTCCAAATTCTTAACAAACATGCTCCGTTGGTTAGATTTAAAACTAAAGGCAACCGCCCACCATGGTATGATCCTTTGATTACAAAGCTCATGAAAACTAGGGACAAGGCTTGGGCATGTGCTCAGAAAAGTAATTTGGTAAATGACTGGCTAGAATACAGGATTTTAAGGAATAGATGCGTAAAAAATACGGCATGCAAAAAATGCCTATTTTTCCTCCACTCTCCTGGAATCACATGGAAATGCCAGGATTTTTTGGAAAATAATCAAATCTATCGAAAAGGCATCCAAAACAGAAAATCTGCCCGTTAAGCTTCACCGAAATGGGGAATATTTTTCAGATCCCAAAAAAATAGTTGACAATTTTAACCTTCATTTTTCTGAAGCTGGTAATCTTTTTGATAATGTATTGGGAGTCACCCCTGCTCCTGCAAATTCCTACACCCCTGTCTAAACATTAAACGAATTTAGTTTCCAACCAATCCACGAAAGTAATGTTCTGAAACAACTGTCCTACCTCAAAGGGTCCTCCTCTACCGGAGCAGATAGTTTTCCCGTCTTTGCTCTACTAACTGTTGGTCACCTAATATACAAACCTATAGCCCATATTTTCAACCTGTCCATCAAAGAAGCATCAGTTCCTCTAGAATGGAAACCTTCCTATGTCCGTCCACTTAACAAAGGGGGCCCTAAAGATGATCCCAATAACTACCGACCTATCTCAATTTTGTCCCCATTGATGAAAATTTTTGAAAAATTATTGAACTACCAAATTAGCAGTTTTCTGTCCACCAACAATCTACTACATCTAAAACAATCTGGGTTCCGGAAAAAATACAGCACATCTGCTGCATTAGACTCTTTGAATCAAATTTACAATAGCCTTGGTAATAAGCAGTACTGTGCCTGTCTTTTTCTTGACCTGTCCGAAGCTTTTGATACAGTAGACCACAACACCCTGCTTAGTAAACTAAGTTGCCTCGGTTTTTCCGAGAACACAGTACAATGGTTAAAAAATGACCTCTTTTCTCGCACCCAAACTGTATTCACAGATGGTTGGAGGTCAAACAGTGTTAAGATAACAAAAGGGGTTCCACAGGGTTCCATCCTCGGCCCCCTCTTGTTCTCTCTTTATGTCAATGACTTGGGCACTGAACTGGATCATTCCAGGGTAAATCTTTTTGCAGATGACACGATACTGATTACTGCTGGCCGCTCTCCGGATGACGTGATTGCTAAGCTCCAGGGTGATTTCAACAAACTACAACATCAGCTAGTTTCTCTTAAACTAGTCCTGAATACCTCCAAAACCAAGGCGCTATGCTTCTCTCCGGGACTAAAGCAGGAAGTTATTTTTCCCCAATTACATTCCTTGAATAATTATCAAATAGAGCAAGTCAAGATCTATAAGTATCTTGGGGTCATCCTGGATTCAAAACTTAGTTTTGAAGATCACATTGATTATATTGGTAAAATGACAAAAATAAAAATTGGTTTTCTGTATCGACACAAGCACTGCTTCCCCCCAATGTTCCGTTTGGAATTGATAAAAGCTACCATACTGCCTCTACTTGACTACTGTGACATTGTGTATGAATCAGCCCCAAGTACTGTACTGAAGAAGCTTGATTCCATCTATCGCTCGGCCTTAAGATTTGCATTGAACTGCCCATATAGGACTCACCACTGTGATCTCTACATTGGGTCAAACTTAACTTCTCTTAATGTTCGACGGCTTGTGCACCAGATCTTATTTATTCACGATGTACTTACAAAAAATTCCGCAGACTACCTACTGGATCTCCTCTCTGTTTCAAAGAACAAATTTGACCTCAGGTCTTCGCTCATTTACCAGCTTCACATTCCCTATTGCCATACAAAAACTGGAGGAAGGGCCTTTGGTATTGATGCCCCCAGGGTCTGGAATGCTATTGCCAATAAACTGCAACTTGAATCACTACCTATGAGATCTTCACTCAAAACTACTCTAGAGGAGTTGTACAACCCTAGCTGCCACTGCTATTCAGTGGCCTAAAATATGGCTCTAGATTTTGGTGTTATAATTTATTTATGTAGTTTATTGTTAGAAATTCGGTCACAGTCCCTATGATCAGTGTTACATTGGATTTATTGCTTTTATTTTGGTGATTTCGAAAACTTTTTTTGTTTTGCCCATGTTTTTTGTTTATTGTAGTACGGAGTTAGACTGATGGCCTTTATCTTAGTTGTCTTGTGGTTGTTGTTGTTTGACTTGCATCCCACTGGGATTTTTGCACACAGCGTTGGTGTACGGTGCTATTTCAGGAATATTTTGATATTTTTTTTCCTGTATTTTCTGTTTGCACAGTCACATAATCACTTTAAGATGTTTTCTTGTTCGTGTTTTTTGTTTGTTGCGGTTGCACCCGATTCAAGAGCCGAATGGCTCACAGGGCTATACCAAATAAATGAACTATGAACTATGACTATGACCCACATCCCCCCACTAGTCGTGACATCATGTCTCTTAATCTAACCACCCACCTCACATGACGTCACGTCCCTTCGCCCCCCACCCTACCGGTCGTGACGTCACGCCAGCGTTGCTTGCTCCCAGTTTTCCTCCCCCCCCACGTCACTCGCACGCGACGGAAGGAAGCCGACGGAGAGGGAGCGGAGGGCGAAGATCGACCCGGAGACTGTGGGAGAGAGGCCGTGGGAGAGAGACCGTGGGTGAGAGACTCTGGGAGAGACTGTGGGAGAGAGACTCTGGGAGAGACTGTGAGTAATAGAGAGGGAGAGACCGTGGGAGAGAGACCGTGGGTGAGAGACTGTGGGAGAAACTGAGTAATAGAGAGGGAGAGACCGTGGGAGAGAGACCGTGGGTGAGAGACTGTGGGAGAAACTGAGTAATAGAAAGGGAGAGACCGTGGGAGAGAGACCGTGGGAAAGAGACCATGGGTGAGAGACCGTGAGAGAGACTGTGGGAGAGAGACTGTGGGAGAGACTGGGTAATAGAGAGGGAGAGACCGTGAGAGAGAGACCGTGGGAGAGAGACCGTGGGAGAGAGACTGTGGGAGAGAGACCGTGGGTGAGAGACTGTGGGAGAGAGACAGTGGGTGAGAGACTGTGGGAGAGAGACTGTGGGAGAGAGACCGTGGGTGAGAGACCGTGGGAGAGAGACCGTGGGAGAGAGACCGTGGGTGAGAGACAGTGGGTGAGAGACCGTGGGAGAGAGACCGTGGGAGAGAGGGAGATTGTGTTGAGAGGGAGATTTTGAGAGGGAGATTGTGAGAGAGAGATTGTGAGAGGAAGATCGTGAGAGGGAGATTGTGAGTGGGAGATTGTGAGAGGGAGATTGTGAGTGGGAGATTGTGAGAGGGAGATTGTGAGTGGGAGATCGTGAGATCGTCAGTGGGAGATTGTCAGAGGGAGATCGTGAGTGGGAGATTGTGAGAGGGAGATTGTGAGAGGGAGATCGTGAGTGGGAGATTGTCAGAGGGAGATTGTGAGAGGGAGATTGTGAGTGGGAGATTGTGAGAGGGAGATTGTGAGTGGGAGATTGTCAGAGGGAGATTGTGAGAGGGAGATCGTGAGAGGGAGATTGTGAGAGGGAGATCATGAGAGGGAGATTGTGAGTGGGAGATTGTCAGAGGGAGATCGTGAGTGGGAGATTGTGAGAGGGAGATCGTGAGAGGGAGATCGTGAGAGGGAGATTGTGAGAGGGAGATTGTGAGTGGGAGATTGTCAGAGGGAGATCGTGAGTGGGAGATTGTGAGAGGGAGATTGTGAGAGGGAGATCATGATAGGGAGATCATGAGAGGGAGATCGTGAGAGGGAGATCGTGAGAGGGAGATTGTGAGAGGGAGATCGTGAGAGGGAGATTGTGAAAGGGAGATCTTGAGTTGAAGATCGTGAGTGGGAGATTGTGAGAGGGAGATTGTGAGTGGGAGATTGTGAGAGGGAGATCTTGAGAGGGAGATTGTGAGTGGGAGATTGTGAGAGGGAGATTGTGAGTGGGAGATCGTGAGAGGGAGATTGTGAGAGGGAGATTGTGAGTGGCAGATTGTGAGAGGGAGATTGTGAGAGAGAGATTGTGATAGAGAGACCATGGGAGACATCGCGAGGTACTCGCGAGAGACCATGAGAGATAGTCCGGTTTGAAACTTGCAGGCCAGCCCTACCTACGATCCATCGTGAGTTTAACCGGCAGGCTGAATCAAAGTGTGAGGAGCTCACAAATACTTGAAGGATCTGGACAGGGTCCCTAACTTTGGCGAGCTCCTCCAAGGCTACATTGGCTGGGTCATGTAGCTCGCATGCCCAGCCACCGCACGTCCAAGCAGCTTCTGTTTGGCCCGATAGAGGCGGGCTAAACGGGCGCGGTACGGGCTGGAGATGAGATGGCGCTGATGCGGTATGGGAGGATGTGGAGCTGAGTGGACTTGCCGATGACTGGTACCAGCGGTGTCAAGATCGCCTCTGTGGAGGAGGCTCGTGAAGGACGCTGCTACTGGGCAGTTGGAGGCAGTCCCCCTCCAGCAACAATGTAGGGCAGAGGAGCGATGTTCGCAACAACGAACAGAGCACCGGGTGACAAAAGCACCAAGTTAGCACAGTAGGGGGGCACAGGTGGATCTGCGAGTCATCTCAATCAGAATCTTTATTTAGACTGCAGGAGGAGGAATCCAATGAGCTATCAAGCTCTTTTCCACAGATATCCAGTATGGGCATGGAGAGTCAGCGATTTACAACGGCATACACACGATACACACAAACACACGATACACACACAAACACGACACACACACCGGATACACACACAAACACGATACACACAAACATGATACACACACACACGATACACACAAACACGATACACACAAACACACGATACACACACACACGATACACACAAACACACGATACACACAAACACACGATACACACACAAACACACGATACACACAAACACACGATACACACAAACACACGATACACACAAACACACGATACACACACAAACACACGATACACACAAACACACGATACACACACACACACGATACACACAAACACACGATACACACAAACACACGATACACACACACACGATACACACAAACACACGATACACACAAACACGATACACACACAAACACACGATACACACAAACATACGATACACACAAACACACGATACACACACAAACACACGATACACACAAACACGTGACACACACAAACACACGATACACACACACGTGACACACACAAACACATGATCGGAGTGCAAAATAGAACTAAAGGTAAGCAAGTCGCAAAATGGAAATTAATTGTTTAAGTCCGATTTATCAAGATTGGGCAAGGCAGCAAAAACGTAACAACGGATCAGTAGCCAACTGCGCTAATCGGAGGTGCGAGGTAAGGACAACACAACAACAAGCGGCAGTTCTAAATGAATTAGTTTGTCAATCTTGGTGATGATTTAAAAGTGCATCGTAGCTCCCAGTGGCTTCCTCATACCAGAGAGGAAGAGCGTTCCAGACATCCGCCACAAGTAGCAGCAGCATCTGAAAGCGCCACGCAACGCAGCGGCGACCACTGCCTTTGTTCGGAGGTTAGCAACCGGTGTCCGTGGTTTCTAGCTTCACGACTTGTTTGCGATACTTCAGAGGGGCGGGGGAGATTAATTTTCCTTCCTTCGTGTGCCTCACTCTTTGCCCCAGTGCCAGGACGGGAACGATGAACGAGGGAGGAGAGATGAAGATCTACTGCCCGATCTGCAACTGGGTGGTGATCAGCCTGCCCGCCCTGGAGGACCACATGAAGCAGCACAGGCGCCGGACCGAGTCCGTGCTGTACCAGTGCCCCTACTGCCCGTACAGCACGGACAAAGCGGCCACTCTGATCGGCCACCAGAGGAGCCACGCCGACGAGAAGCCCTACAAGTGCTGGGTGTGCGATGAAGTTTTCGCGAATTCGGGAGACTACTGCTCCCATCAGAGCATGCACATGAAGCGGGCGCGACGCAGGAAGTCGATCGTCCCACTGCCAAGAGACGTCTCACCGGACAAGAGAATCCGCGCGGGCGAGAGGCCCTACCACTGCAACGTCTGCGGGGTGGACTTCACTCAGTCGCAACACCTCCTCAAACACCAGAGGATCCACACGAACGAAAAGCCGTACGCGTGCGCCGTGTGCGGCAAGGCGTTTGTGCACCCGAGCACCCTCGTCATCCACACTCGGGTCCACACGGGCGAGAAGCCGTACAAGTGCGCCACGTGCGGCAAGGCATACAGCCGATCGACGGCTCTCATCCACCACAAGAGGACCCACACGGGCGAGAAGCCCTACGGGTGCGCGGTGTGCGGGAAGCGATTTGCCCTGTCGAAAGTTCTCGTCAAACACGAGAGGACCCACACGGGCGAGAGGCCCTACGAGTGCACCACGTGCGGCAAGTCCTTCACCCAGTCGGGCACCCTGGGCATCCACAAGCGCACCCACACGGGCGAGAGGCCATACACGTGCGACGTGTGCGGCAGGTCGTTCACGCACTTGGGCACCCTCCACGTGCACAAGAGGACACACGCGGGCGGGAGGCCCTTCACGTGCCCCACGCGCGGGAAGGCCTCCTCCGAGGCAGGGGGCCTCCGGGCGCACCGGCAGGCCTGCGCGGGCTCGAGCGCGTTGCCGCCGCCGGCCCGTCCCCCCCTCCTTCGCCGCCGCGCCTGCGAGAGGGCCGGGCTTCACGAGGGCGTGACTACCACTGGGGAGGTCGTGGCGAGCCTCGGGGGCGAGGGTCCCACAGCGACCCCCTCGGTGACCCCCTCGGTGACCCCCTCGGTGACCCCCTCGGCATCGCTGTCATCAGAACACAGAGAGACCCGCAGCTTCGAGACGTTGCCAGGGGTGAAGGTAGAATGCGACGGTGAAGATCCTTCCGCCTCCCTACCGATTGTGAAGCGGGAGCGCGGAGGGATCACCAGCTTCGAGACGTGGCCGGGGGTGAAGGTGGAATGTGACGGTGAAGATCCTTCCGCCTCCCTATTGATCGTGAAGCAGGAACAGGAAGAAAGCCCCGGCTGTGAGACGCGGCTGGGGTGAAGGTGGCACACTGGAGGCTGAGTCTCTGCTTTGGGAACGAATGTTGAGGTCTACGTGGGGACTGTGAAGGAGGAGGCTCCAAGCAAGCATTTCGAGCGAGAGCGAGTCCTCGACTGGGACCTTTGTTAATTTGGTAGCGCGGGTAGAGGATGTGTACTACACAGAGGGGGCAGGTCTAGTGGAGTGGAGATTTAAACACTCGAGAATCTGACCGAGAGAGAGAAATGTTGAGAAAATGTTGCGCGATACATCGGCCGTTCTTAAGCGCGTCTGCACGACTATGAAGGTACACAACGTGGAGGCAATCATTTTTTGTTCTGTGAACAGATACACGTGAAGTGAAAACTACGTAGTAGACTCTTTGTTTTATTTTACCAGGTAAGGCCCAACACTGAGCCACATTGCTCTTTATCAGAAGCGACCTGGCCATCACAAATGATACCTCAACGAAGCGGCCTATCATCACGTGGATACTTATAGCAGCAACCACATGCTCTCAAACGCCTGGTGATGTTGATTCTAAATGTCGAGGCGGGGGGGTGGGGGGGGAGAAACTGGAGGACCCTGCTTGACGACCACCAAGGAGACGGAAGCGTCTTTGGCTCCACTTTCCACCTTAACTGCCTGGTGCACAATAATAATAGGGTTTTTCCTCTTTTTTCTGGCAACAAAACTGAAACCTTTTTACAAGGATTAATGTCTGCATTAACCACAATACCTGCAGATGGTCGAGCACCAATTGGGTCGAGGCTCAAAAGAAAACCGTCCCTTGGTGTGGACCAATCAGTGTCAAGGACAATGCATATATTATCATAGTATGTTTGTGCATTTTGTCTGCAGGTATTGTGGTTAATGCAGACATGAATCCTCGTAAAAAGGTTTCAGTTTTGTTGCCAGAAAAAAGGGGAAAAACCCTATTATTATATTTTGGTACTGGCAAAGGAGGTCTAATGATGCCTGGTGCACCTCGATGCTGGCGTCTTCTTCACGTTCTTCTTGTCGTACGGCTGCCGATGTAGATGCAGAGACCAACGACTAATTTCGCATTCACCAGGTGGTCTAGCCCAGATGATGCGTCAGGAGGAGCTGTAAGCGGAGGAGCGTAGCATACCGTACCATCGCTCGTCCGGTTTCTCGCAACGGGGAAGAGGCGCACCGAGTGACCCCTCCGCCCACCCCCTCCATGAGCTCCATCTGAATCGGCCCCCCCCCCCCTCCCGTTCGTAACGTTGGACGGTTCGTAAGTCATAATAGGGTTTTTCCCCTTTTTTCTGGCAACAAAACTGAAACCTTTTTACAAGGATTCATGTCTGCGTTAACCACAATACCTGCAGTCAAAATGCAAACAAAAAACATACTATGATAATGTATGCATTGTCCTTGAAACTGATTGGTCCACACCAAGGGATGGCTTTCTTTTGAGCCTCGAACCAATTGGTGCTCGACCAGATGGACCAATCAGTTTCAAGGACAATGCATATATTATCATAGTATGTTTTTTGTTTGCATTTTGACTGCAGGTATTGTGGTTAATGCAGACATGAATCCTTGTAAAAAGGTTTCAGTTTTGTTGCCAGAAAAAAGGGGAAAAACCATATTATTACATTTTGGTACTGGCAAAGGATGTCTAATGAGGTTCGTAAGTCGTGTACGGCGCCGTATTTAAATGCCCGCACGGTCGGTGTTGTGAAACGTGTTACGGTTCAACGCAACAAAAAGGGTGACGTACTATTAACACCTCGTAAATTAAGAGGAAATGTCGTACATTTGCATGTAATACTGGACTGTAACATATACCGTACCGTAAATCTAACCTATAAACTTCATTTTTTGGCTGTCTGTATGTCTCACTGTGTCTGCGCCTTGTAATAATATTAACTGACAAACTATTGGGTTTACGTTTGAACAGAGTACACGATGAACGTTTGCTATTTGTTTTTGCCCTTGGTCCCATCTAAACTAAGAAAATCACTCTTTGTACAATGTACGATCATCTTGATAACTGAGCCGCGCCAAAGCACGCATCTGCTCATGTGGAACGCCGACTCGCAGTTCCCCCTAGCAACACAAACACAGTTGCTTAGCGACGACGGGAGGTTCTCCCGCGTTAAAGATTTGGTGGTCATATTGTTTACGAGAAAAAAATGCCTCCAAAGAGAGTGGCAGCACTGTGGCACGCAAAACAAAGAATGCAGGAGCAGTACATTCATACAACTTAATAAAACAGGTCCCTGCAGGGTGGGCTGGTAGGACAAGTCTCTGCGCAGTCTATTGCTGATTTTACACCCAACAGCACGAGATTTCACTTCGTTAAAGTATTGAAAGGGGACAGACGGACGGACGGACACATTAATCTATTGCAGGCTGGTACACTCAGTTTACAACTTCGTTCCTACCAGTAAAATACTATCCATAATTGAGGTGTTCATGGGTTAGATCGCGTAAATATAAATGTGTCGTTAAACCCACCACCGCCAATTAGAAAGTTTGTCACGTAAACAGAACATGCCAATTCGTTACTAGTGTAGTGGGCTCCAGGAGACTTGAGACGTCTTTAGAGACAACACGGTTTATTTGTAAACTACAACAGAACTCGCCTAACTCCCACTATCTAGGGAGGTACAGCCTCCGGGCTAACGTGCCCTCACACTCAGTAATCCTGGCTCTCAGCCCTCCGGCTATCTGTGCCCTAGGGGAGGCTAACTGACCCGACCCAGCCCAGGGTACGGGTCCTGACCACTGGTCCGCGCTCGGCCCCGGCCCTTACAAGGACGTCGGGTCCCAGGGTCCTAGCTAGGCTGGTCTTCTGTTCTTCGTCTTCGGAACACTGCCCTGAGCTGTCCCAGAGGTGCTCCTTTTATACACCTCTCGGGGGCTCTCCGCCCCCGGTACCACCCCCTCTCTAAAACCTTCCAGGGGGCTCTGGAAGAACCCCCCAACCCCTCACCTGGGGTCTGGGGGGAAGCACCCGCCCCTCAACGGTCCAGCTCTCTCTGACCTTCCCCAGCTCAGGGTGGCATGGGCCTGTGCCCGCAACTGCAGGTAAGTATATATACCGACGGTATAAGATGTGCATTTCCGACGCTACACTAGTGTAATGACTCTCGGACGACACAAAATATAGAGGGCATTCTTTATTTTGATTAGGCCACTTCACGCAGATAACTTGGCCAGGGATGACACGCAAATAACGACAATGCGAAGACAACGGCGACGTTTAGACAGCACCGACATGAAGACAGTAACGGTGTGAAGACAGCGATGGCGTGAAGACAACGACGACCCCGATCCCATGGCAGCTCGAACCATGCTCGTCGCCTCCTTTTATCCCCGGCGTGGCCCTCACTCCGCCCCTGGCCACGCCCCCTTTCTTGAACTCTCTGGCCCATTCCTGAACTTCCATGGCGATTTCCCCTTGCAACAACTCGACCTCTTATTTATCAACCCTGCAATTTCCGATCGTGACCACTAGTCCACGGACTGTCTTTGCACCCGCACTGTCTCCGCACACATACTGTCTCCACACATGCACTTTCTCTACACTAGTACAGTATACCGGTGCGTTGGAGAGTAAATCCACAATCACAATCTGAGTACGACGTCTTCACCGCCGCCGGCCGCGTCTCAAAGCCGCCGCGCGCGGCGGGGAGGAGGAGGTGGTCGTGGGGGCGGTGGGTGGGGGGGGGGGGCGTTTCTCTTCGCCTGCCTCTCTCCGGCGGAGAACGAGCAGTCGCCACCGCCGCCACTCCTGCCGCTGGACGTCCGCCGGGACGCCGAATGTCTAAGCCAATGCCCCCTCTGGTTTGCCGCCGGACGGGGGGCGCAATGGCAGGCCGTGGACGTTCTGGTGAATGTGAAGGGCCCTGGGGTCCGCGAACTCCTTGCCGCATGCGGCGCACCGGCGTGCCCCGCCAGTCGCGTGGACCCGCCGGTGGGCGACGAGGGTGTCCGACCGGGCGAATATCTTGCCACACTCGGCGCACCCGTGGAGCCTCTCGACCGTGTGGGTCCTCTGGTGGTTGCGGAGGTGCTCCGACCGGGTGAACTCCGTGCCGCAGACGGTGCAGTGGTAGGGCTTGCCGCCGGCGTGCGTCTTTTGGTGCTCGCGAAGATCCCCCGAACGGTTGAACATGAGTTTGCAAACGGTGCAATTGTAGGGCTTCTCCTCGGCGTATACCGCTTGTTGCTCGCGGAAGACCTAGGCGTCGATGAACACCTTGCCGCACTCGGCGCACTTGTGCGACTCGCACGCGTCGTGTGTCTAGTTTGTTGTCATTTCCCCGCACCTCCAATTAGCACAGTTGACTCCACCGTGGCGAGATGTTAACTACCTCTCCTGGCACACAGGTCTTGGGTTCTCTGAGATCCTTGAATAACTCGTGTGTGGTCCTTCGACAATGCTCCTTGGACCTCAGCATGCCATTGTTGTACGTGGACCTGTTAGAGGGAATTATTAACACCCACACAGACCCTCTTTGCGAAGCAAGTGATCTAGTTTAACGGCGGCTGATGTGAAGACATTCGATTGCCTGGTCCCTCAGCTGTCCGTCTATTCTGCAGGGGGCAATCCTGTTTCCAATGACCAGCTGCAAAGCACAACAAACAAAAGTTGGCCCTACTGCAGTGCAGTGGTGTTGTGTGGTTTTCTTCATTGCACACACCACATGCCTTGAGTAATCGCAATAGGTTTCCTCTCATCAGATGTTGTCCCATCCCAGACACTTGTACCTGCTGCTCCAAGACCCTGTCCAACCTATTGATCAGCCTCATGTGCAACGTGTCGGTGGCCTCCTGACCTCCCATGCGTCCCCGAGTTGACGAGTCCTTTTGAAGGTTTCCTCCAGGGTTCCCTGGGCATCTAGGTATCGGCTCACTCAGTTGAACATTAGCAACAGCATGTCTTGTTCCTGACAATTCCTGTGGTCCATTCAATGTTTGTGCTCTACTATCATGCAAGCGCTCCTCGAGGTTTTCCTGGACTTCCTCGACAGTCCACTTTTCCACTGCCTTGAACCGGAAGATTCCAGCAAGTGTCGGGTCTGTACAGTGTGTCATGAACATCATCGCCACCTCATGACCAGGGTCCTCAATACTGCGACCCCGCCTCTGTAGGCACTCTGTTGCTACCTCAATAGCCTTGCAAAGCCACACCCAATAATCCATTACCCCTTCCCCTGAAATTGGAAATGTGTTATAAAAGTCTGCAAGAGGCATTGCGGAGTAGATGAGCTCACTAAAATGTTGTTTTAGAATGTCAAAAAACAATTTGGGGTTATTTTCTGGGGACAGTTTCGGACTCCCACGCAATTTTATTTGTGCAATATCCCGGGTTCTTCCCATCAATTTGCAGGCTCTCTCTTCTGATTATTTGTTTGCCGGGCATGCACACTTCCTAAGGTAGGTCTCCATGAGTTCCTGTCATTCCTGGATTGTCTACTTATCTGAACCATCACCTCGAAAGACTGCACAACTAACCAAATCCCGGATGAACTTTGAAATGAACGCTGGTCGCCCACTGAATTACTATGGTCACCCTGCATACTGACATCGTTAGTCCTGCTGATTGACTGCAGTTGCAAGGTCACCAATTGGCAAATTTCGCGTGCCTGCTGGGTAATTAGGTCACTGAGCTCACCACCAACCTGACCCTCTCTACTTGACCCTATCTCCTGTCCTGGCCTTGGAGTACTTGTAGCACCTGCACCTAAAACACCTGAAGTTTTTGGGCTGTCATCAAACTGGCATGCCAAAGTTACATCCTCAGTGGTGACTTTAGACCTGCCCTCAAAACCTGGGTCCATAATTCGGGGTGGCCGCGTGCCTGTGAACCCTATAGGTGTTACAGGTACCTCTCCTTCCAATGAACCCACACAACTGGAAAAATAATTCCAATGGTTCAATCATATCCGACACACACAAAAATCAGACACAAGATAATAATGTCACTCCTCCAATTGAAGGAGATCAAAAATAAAGATAAGAGGAAACTGGAGAGAAAAATATATTTAAAACAAAAATAACTGTCAATGAAAGGCCTGCAAAATAATGAATAAAAACAATGTAAACGTTACATTATGAGACCACCTTTGCCAGTAACAAGATATAGTAATAGGTTTTTACCCTTTTAGCTGGCACAAAAACTGACACCTTTATACAAGGGATCATGTTTGCAATAACCACAACACAAGCAGTCAAAAATGCAAACAAAAAGAAACAACTCTGATGATATGCACTGTCCTTGAATTTGATTGGTCAACACCCGAGATGTCTTTTCTTGGAGCCTAGTCTCCACTGGTGTTGGACCAGATGACACCATAAGGCGTACAACTCAAAAACAGCGCAATATCAGAGTATTTCTGTGGTTTAGCGTTTCGCTTATATCCTAAATTTTTCGCCTCTGGCTCCGTCTTCTCACAAAGCACCAGAATTCCTTTGATTCCGCTCCTTGGCTCGTCATTGGTCGGGGCACCTTTTTATTTTGCTATCACAAAGCAGCAGCTGTGGCCTTTGAACTGTGCGTCACCACCGCCATGTTATCCGTTCACATTTTGAGCAGCGTTTGCTGCACTCCCTGTCACGATTGGAACTTATGCATGGTGTTTGATACATCAGAGGGAGGCACCCCCCGCATAACATAATTTCCTGCTACCACGTGCTATGCTAGCTACTGGGAAGACAAAGGCGATTGGTCGGGCTCTGATCCCCTGAAATGCATACCATCTTGGTCGTTGAAGATTGACATAATTCATATTGTATATCTTCTGAATGATCCTAGGTCTAATACACCCGTAATTACTATTCGGTTTCTGCTTAACAAAGATTCGTGGCATGCAGTAATTGTTACCAAGGATATTCCGAGGGTCCTATTAACCTTTGTTCCCCGTCTGTATCGCCAAAGGATCCGCGCTTCTTATTCTCAAGTTACGTTTTGATATTTAGAGAGCATGTGGCTGCTGCTATAAGTGTCCACGTGATGATAGGCCGCTTCGCTGAGGTATCATTTGTGATGGCCAGGTCGCTTCTGAAAAAGAGCTACGTGGCTAAGTGGTGGGCCTTACCTGGTAAAATAAAACAAAGAGTCTACTACGTAGTTTTCACTTCACGTGTATCTGTTCTCAGAACAAAAAATATTGCCTCCACGTTGTGTACCTTCACAGTCGTGCAAACGCGCTCGAGCTTTCGAACGGCCGATGAAACGCAAGGCATTTTTTTCAAAATGTATCTCTCTCGATCAGCTTCTCGAGTGTTTAATCTCCGCTTCACGAGACCTGCGCCCTCTGTGTCGGACACATCATCCTTCACCCACGCCACCAAATTAACAAAGGTCCCAGTCGAGGACTAACTCTCACTCGACATGCTTGCTGGAGCCTCCTCCTTGACTCTTCCCACATAGACCTCAACATCTGTTCCCAAAGCAGAGACTTGGCCTCCCGTTTGCCACCTTAACCCCAACCGTGTCTGACAGCCGGGGCTTTCTTCCTGTTCCTGCTTCACAATCGAGAGGGGAACTGATAAATCATCCCCCCCCAGTTCTACCTTCACCTCTGGCCACGTCTCGGAGCTGGCGATCCCTCCGCGCTCCCGTTTCACGATCGGCAGGGTGGTGGAAGGATCTTCACTGTCGCATTCCACCTTCACCCCCGGCCACGTCTCGAAGCTGAGGGTCTTTCCGTGTTCTGATGTCAGCGATGCCGTGGGGGTCGCCGAAGGGGTCGCCGAAGGGGTCGATGTGGGACCCTCGCCCCCGAGGCTCGCCACGACCTCCCCAGGGGCAGTCACGCTCTCGTGGAGCCTGGCCCTCCCACGGGTGCGGCGGCGGAGGAGGGGGGGACGGGCCGGCGGCGTCGACGCGCTTGAGCCCGCGCGGGCCTGCCGGCACGCCCGGAGGCTCCTTGCCTCGGCGGAGGCCTTCCCGCGCGTGGGACACGTGAAGGGCCTCTCGCCCGCATGCGTCTTCTTGTGTACTTTGAGGTTGCCCAAGTGCGTGAACGACCTGCCGCACACGTCGCACGTGTACGGTCTCTCGCCCGTGTGGGTACGCTTGTGGATGCCCAGGGTGCCCGACTGGGCGAATGACTTGCCGCACGTGGCACACTTGTAGGGCTTCTCGCCCGTGTGGGTCCTCTCATGTTTGACAAGAACCCTCGACTGGGCGAATCGCTTCCCGCACACCGCGCACCCGTAGGGCTTCTCGCCCGTGTGGGTCCTCTTGTGGTTGAGGAGCGCCGTCGACTGGTTGAATGACTTGCCGCACGTGGCGCACTTGTACGGCTTCTCGCCCGTGTGGACCCGAGTGTGGATGACGAGGGTGTCCGAGCGTACGAACGCCTTGCCGCACACGGTGCAAACATACGGCCTCTCGTCCGCGCGGATCCTCTCTTCCGATGAGACGTCTCCTGGCAGTGGGACGATCGACTTCCTGCGTCGCGTCCGCTTCATGTGCACGCTCTGATGGGAGCAGAAGTCTCCCGAATTCGCGAAAACTTCATCGCACACCCAGCACTTGTAGGGCTTCTCGTCGGCGTGGCTCCTCTGGTGACCGATCAGAGTGGCCGCTTTGTCCGTGCTGTACGGGCAGTGGGGGCACTGGTACAGCACGGACTCGGTCCGGCCCCTGTGCCGCTTCATGTGGTCCTCCAGGGCGGTCAGGCTGATCACCACCCAGTTGCAGATCGGGCAGTAGATCTTAATCTCTCCTCCCTCGTTCATCGTTCCCGTCTTGGCACTGGGGCAAAGAGTGAGGCACACGAAGGAAATGAATCTCCCCCGCCCTGCCCCTGTGAAGTATCGCAAACAAGGCGTGAAGCTAGAAACCACGGACACCGGTTGCTAACTGTAAAACAAAGGCAGTGGTTGTCGCTGCGTCGCATGGCGATGCTGCTGCTTGTGGTGGACGTCTGGAACGCTCTTCCCTCCGGTATGAGGAAGCCACTGGTAGCTACGATGCACTTTTAAATCATCTAGATTGACAAACTCAATTCTTTATAACTGCTGCTTGTTGTCGTGTTTAATTTGTTGCCCTTCCCCCGCACATCCTATTAGCGCGGTTGGCTACTGTTCTGTTTTTGCTGCCTTGCCAAATCTTGATAAATCGGACAATTTCCATTTAGCGACTTGCTTACCTTTTGTTGTATTTTGCACTCCTATCGTGTTTGTGTGTATCATGTGTTTGTGTGTATCGTGTGTTTGTGTGTATCGTGTGTTTGTGTGTATCATGTGTTTGTGTGTATCGTGTGTTTGTGTGTATCGTGTGTTTGTGTGTATCATGTGTTTGTGTGTATCGTGTGTTTGTGTGTATCATGTTTGTGTGTATCGTGTTTGTGTGTATCATGTGTTTGTGTGTATCGTGTGTTTGTGTGTATCGTGTGTTTGCGTGTATTGTGTGTGTATCGTGTGTTTGTGTGTATCGTGTTTGTGTGTATCGTGTGTATCGTGTGTTTGTGTGTTTCGTGTGTTTGTGTGTATCATGTGTTTGTGTGTATCGTGTGCTTGTGTGTATCATGTGTTTGTGTGTATCGTGTGTTTGTGTGTATCATGTGTTTGTGTGTATCGTGTGTTTGTGTGTATCATGTGTTTGTGTGTATCGTGTGTGTATTGTGTGTATCGTGTTTGTGCGTATCGTGTTTGTGTGTATCGTGTGTTTGTGTGTATCGTGTGATTGCCGTTGTATATCGCGGACTCCCCGTGGCCATACTGGACATCTGCTAAAATGAGCTTCATCCTCCCGTACCGCATCAGCGCCATCTCATCTCCAGCCCGTACCGCGCCCGTTTAGCCCCCCTCTATACGGCTAAACAGAAACTGCTTGGGCGTGCAGTGGCTGGGCATGCGGGCTACATGGCCCAGCCAACGTAGCCTTGGAGGAGCTCGCCGATGATAGGGACCGTACTCTTTGGTTCTTTCGGTACAGTCACGTAGGTCGACAGAATAATAGATCGCGACGTTTCGATCGCGACGCAAATGACCGTCTTCAGGTGAGGGGGGAGGAGACATCCCCGCGGCGTGCCCGTGGTGGGTTGGAGAGAGACGTGACGTCACGTCGAGCATGGAATGGTGACGTCACGACCGAATCGGCTGAGTCTCCCTCTGACCATCTCCCTCTCCCCTGATGACGGTTGCTTGTTGTTGCGATTGAAACGTCGTGATCTATTATTTTTCTACCTACGTGACTTTACCGAAAGAACCAAAGAGCATGGATTCCTGCAGTCACGAAAGCTTCAAATCAAGATTGATAGGGACCGTGTCTAGATGTTTCAAGGATTTGTGAGCTCCTCACACTGCAGATTAAATCCACGATGGATCGTAGGCAGGCCCGGCCTGCAAGTCTCAAATCGGGGCAGAAATATCTCATGGTCTCTCTACTCACAATCTCCTGTTCACGATCTCTATCTCACAATCTCCATCTCACAATCTCCCTCTCACAATCTACCTCTTACAATCTCGCTCTCACAATCTCCCTCTCACGATCTCCCTCTCACGATCTCACTCTCTCCCTCTCACAATCTCCCACTCACCATCTCCCTCTCACGATCTCCCTCTCACGATCTCCCACTCACAATCTCTCTCACAATCTCCCTCTCACAATCTCCCACTCACAATCTCCCTCTCACAATCTCCCTCTCACAATCTCCCTCTCACAATCTCCCTCTGACAATCTCCCACTCACAATCTCCCTCTCACAATCTCCCTCTCACGATCTCCCTCTCACGATCTCCCTCTCACGATCTCCCTCTCACGATCTCCCTCTCACAATCTCCCTCACAATCTCCCACTCACAATCTCCCTCTCACAATCTCCCACTCACAATCTCCCTCTCACGATCTCCCTCTCACAATCTCCCACTGACAATCTCCCTCTCACGATGATCAACTCAAGAACTCCCTCTCACAATCTCCCTCTGACAATCTCCCAGGGCCTCCCTCACGGCCTCCCACAGTCTCTCCATCTCCATTACTCACAGTTTCTCTCTCAGAGTCTCTCTCCCACGGTCTCTCACCCACGGTCTCTCACCCACGGTCTCTCTCCCACAGTCTCTCTCCCAGAGTCTCTCTCCCAGGGTCTCTCACCCACGGTCTCTCACCCACAGTCTCTCTCCCAGAGTCTCTCTCCCACGGTCTCTCACCCACGGTCTCTCTCCCAGAGTCTCTCTCCCACTGTCTCTCTCCCAGGGTCTCTCTCCCAGAGTCTCTCCCTCTCCATTACCCACAGTCTCTCTCCCAGAGTCTCTCTCCCAGGGTCTCTCTCCCACGGTCTCTCACCCACGGTCTCTCACCCACGGTCTCTCTCCCAGAGTCTCTCTCCCACGGTCTCTCTCCCAGAGTCTCTCTCCCAGAGTCTCTCTCCCACGGTCTCTCTCCCAGAGTCTCTCACCCAGAGTCTCTCTCCCACGTTCTCTCCCAGAGTCTCTCTCCCACGGTCTCTCACCCACGCTCTCCCTCTCCATTACTCACAGTCTCTCACCCACGGGCTCTCTCACAGTCGCTCTTCGCCCTCCGCGACTTCCTTCCGTCGCGTGCGAGTGACGTGGGGGGAGGAAAAGTGGGAGGAAGCAACGACGGCGTGACGTCACGACCGGTGGGGTGATGTCAATTTGGGTGTCTTTCTGTATCCGTCTGTGTGACAATCTGTGGCTATCCGTGTGTATGTTTGTATCCGTCTGTTTCTGTGTGCCAATCTGTGGCTATCCGTGTGTCTGTATCCGTCTGTCTGTCAATCTGGACATTTGTGTGTATCTGTATCCGTCTGATTCTCTGGGTGTATGTCATTCTGTTTCCATCCGTGTGTGTCTGTCTTAGTTTGTGTCTGTGTATCTTTGTCTGTGTCTCTGGGGTGTGTAAATCTGTGTCCATCTGTGTGTCTGTCTCTGGGGTGTGTGTCCACCCACCTCTGCCTCCATCCGCCTGTCTCTTTCTTCATTTGTCTTACAGTTTCCCTGTCTCAATCTGTATTCGTCTATGTGTCAGTGTGTGTCTCTGTGTGGGAGCGGTGGTGCAAGCGGTTAGCGCTACGCTGCACCACGAACCCGGCGACCCGAGTTCGATTCCCGCTCACGGCCAACACCAGTGATCGGGATTATCTGAACCGGTCATGGACCTCCTCCCCTAGGTCGACTCGGCCTCAAATGAGAAACCTGGTGCCGTGTGTGTAGTAAACATCACCACTGGGGAGACAAAGGCGGCCGGGCGTGGTGCTGGCCACCCACCCCCTCATGTGCCATAGTGCCAGCCTTCATAGGCCGCTAATCGCTAACATCAAATTGCCTGTTAAGGCCATATGGGGGACTCTCACCTGTCCTGGGTCTCAGCTGCTCCAGGCTCTTAACCTGCCCAGCCTCTCACCTGTCCAGGCTCTCACCCGTGGGTGGAGGTTGAGGAGGAGCCGTACCCGCTGGCTTTGCCAGGTAGAAGGTCGCACAGCAGCAGAGTGTGTGGACTAATCTCCGTCTGTTCCATCTGTATGGGGTGGTGCTACTCCATCGCATGCGTGGGGTTTTCTCCGGGTGCCCCAGTTTCCACCCACGTATGAGCTCTCATTACTTGGCTGATAACACCTTGATATATAAAGGACCGCAGAGCTTGGGAAAATATGTTTGGCTCAACGCAGGACTGCTGCTTTCCCCACTCATCTTTGGCTCCTCACTCCTCTATGTATGTGTGTAATTTGAAATTATTTTGCACCGTACGTAGCCAAAAGTAAACAATTTATTATTGGCCCCAGTACTGAGCTATATCGGAGCTTTTCTTCAGAAGTGACCTGGGCATCACAAATGATAGCAACTCAACGAAGTGGCTTATCATAGTATGACAGTTTAGAGCAGCCAAATACTGTACTCTAAACGCGTGGTGATGTTGATTCTAAATGTGGAGAGAAAAAACGGAGGACCCAGAGAAAAATCCACGCAATCATGGGGAGAGAGACACGCAAACTCCAAATATACAGGTGTCAGGGTCGGGATCGAACCCAAGACCTGTATACCAGCAGAGGTAGTTAACATCTCGCCACGACGGAGCCAACTGTGCTAATCGCAGATGCGGGGAAAGGACAACAAACTAAACACAAAAAGCAGTTCTAAAGGAATTAATTTGTCAATCGAAATGATGATATTAAAGTGCATCATAGCTCCCAGTGGCTTCCTAATATCGGAAGGGAAGAGCGTTCCAGACGGCCGCAGAAGAAGCGGATCTCAAAGCGCCACGCGACAATGCACCGCTGCTTTTGGTGCTATGAGGTTGACGGTTGGAGAGTTCACATCACGACAGTTCATGCTCCTCAGCGAGATCATCAGCGAGGTGTAGCAGTTCACCCGTGAACGGATATCGTGCAGCGGCGCGTCACGCAATGTCGTCTTGTGATTGTTGCCTTGCCCTTGCGTGCCCCAGTGCCGACGCGGAACGGAACGGAGCAGAGATGAAGATCTTCTGCCCGATCTGCAAGTGGCTCGTGGTCAGCCTGCCTGCCCTGGACGACCACATGAAGCGGCACAGGGGGTGGACGGAGCCCGCTCTGTTCCGGTGCCCCCACTGCCCGTTCAACACGGACAAGCTGAACGTGTTCATCGGCCACCAGGCGACGCACGACGCTCGCGACTCGCACAAGTGCGCCGAGTGCGGCAAGGTGTTCATCGACGCCGAGATCTTCCGCCAGCACCGAGCGGCGCACGCCGAGGAGAAGCCCTACAAGTGCACCGATTGCGAACTGGCGTTCAACCGCTCGGCGGATCTTCACGAGCACCAAAAGACGCATGCCGGCGGCAAGCCCTACCACTGCACCGTCTGCGGCATGGAGTTCACCCGGTCGGAGCACCTCCGCAACCACCAGAGGACCCACACGGGCGAGAAGCCCTACAGGTGCGCCGAGTGCGGCAAGATATTCGCCCGGTCGGACACCCTCGTCGCCCACCGGCGGGTCCACAAGGCTGGCGGGGCACGCCGGTGCGCCACATGCGGCAAGGAGTTTGTGGACCCCAGGGCCCTTCACATTCACCAGAACGTCCATGGGCCGCCGTCGCAGCCCCCGTCCGACGGCAAACCGGAGGGTGCTTCGGCTCGGACGTTCGACGCTCCCGTTCCCCGCGGAAATGGACGCGGAGGAGGCGAACCGAGAAGACGGCGGACGTCCAGTGACGGCGATGTTGACCGCTCCTTTTCCACCGGAGCGAGGCAGGCGAAGAGAAACGCCCCCCCCACCACCACCTCCTCACCCTCCTCCCGCCGTGTGCGGCGGCTTTGAAACGCGGCCGGCGACGGCGGCATCGGCGACGGTGACGTCGTCATAGAGGACGCTCCCCCATCACCCACCCATCCCCAAACCCCCCCCAACCCCCCTCGTGTGGCCTTCGTGGCCGAGAATCTGGAGTTGGAATGAAACTCCGGGCCGGCGTAGGAGGCATCGGATTTTCAAAAACTCCGGACAATCACCAAATCGTCATCATTGTTTAAAATAACTTATTTTTGCCCATTCTTGTATGATATTGTAGGTATTGTTTTTTTCATGTTTTATATTCGTTTATTATATGAAGTTGGCATAAATAAACAATACAAATAGACAAAAAGTTACCACATTTACTGCACCGTACTTAACACTCTAACCTCTCAGGCGTGGGGTGATGTATAGACGTGCAGTATTTTCATTTTAACACGTTGGCTTTCGCGACCAATATCCATACGTTTTTTTTGTTAGATTGCGCAAATATAAATGTGTCGTTAAACCCGCCACCACCCAACAATTAATAATTTTAATTTATTTGTAAGGCGCCTTCCACCGTCTGAAGGTGCCTTGTAGATTAAGGTTAAGGAAAGGCCAAGAGAAGATGAGAGCTACATAGAATAAACGGACTTAAGAAGATATTGTTTTATCTACATTGTCGGTTAAACAAATTTCCAATGGTAGAGAATTCCACGACCGAGGAGCAGACACAGCAAATGCCTGCTCACCCCAGGAACGCAGCCGGGAACGAGGTACGCACAGAAGGGCAGAGGGATTTAAGAATGAAACAGGAGGATTTCTCCACAAATATGGCTGTCGTCTGATGATACTAGTTGTGATTACTGGCGAAACGTCGTAATCAGATTGTGAATGTGGATTTACTCTTCAACACACCGGTGTGCTGTACTAGTGTAGAGACAGTGCGTGTGTGGAGACACTACGTCTGTGGAGACAGTGCAGGTGCAAAGACAGTGCGTGGACTAGAGGTCACGAGCAGAAATTACAGGGTTGATAAATAATAGAGGGCGAGTTGCAACAAGAGGGAATCAACAGGGAAGTTCGGGAAAGCCAGAGAGTTCTAGAAAGGGGGCGTGGCCAGGGGCGGAGTGAGGGCCACCCCGGGGATAAAAGGAGGCGACGAGCAAGGTTCAGGGCTCCTGTGGGATCGGGGTCATCGCTGTCGTCGTGTTGCTGCTGTCTTCACGTCGCCGCGATTTGTACGTCATCCCTGGCCCAAGCGATCTGCATGTCATCCCTGGCCAAGTTATCTGCGTGAAGCGCCTGATTAAAATAAAGAAAACCCTTTACAGCTCGTGTCGCCTGAGAGTCATTACAACTGGTGTCAGAAGTGGGGTAATTGAAATGTCGGGGCCCGTATTGATTTCAAAGATCCTGGCGGTGCCTTGCCTCTTGGGTGCCGATTTTTTTAGCAGGATGCCCCTAAAGATTCTGACAGACCAAGGATGTGTCGAGATTCCATCAGGGCAACGATTGTTCTTTTTGGATTCCACGTGTAAAAATACTGTGGCGGACGTTACAGTTCAGGCCTTGGCAAAGGAATCAATAGATTCCGCCAGGCACGCAAATTTGGTCCTTTTGCGCTACCGCAAACAGCTTCAATCAGCTGACGCCGAGGCGGGAGTCCTCCTTACACCGTCCAACACAGCGACCCGTGGGCTTACGCTGGTGGGTGTGCAGACAATCCTTCGGATGAACCAGGAGCCAATTTTACAGGTCTTGAATGTAGGTGTGGGAACAGCTGTGGTCCAGGCAGGTACAGTGTTAGCTCACGCGACGCCTGCATGTTTTTAGGCTATCGTCTCAGCTGCGGGGGGGGGGGGGTGGAACAGAGAGCCGAGTCAGATGGGACATGGGGCAGATAAATTGAGGAAAGTCCTGATTTATCCCAGGTGCAATGGAACGGATTGCGATCTTTGCTAAAGGAATTTTCCGACATTTTCAGTCATATACGTACGGACGAGGCGGCTCCTATTCGACAGAACTCATATATATTCTTGGTTCTTTCGGTAAAGTCACGTTGAAGGGAACAATAAAATAATAAAATATATATAACAATAAAATTATCACGTTTCGACTGTAACACAGTCATCATCAGGTGTGACAAACCGACGGCAAGAAGCATTTGAAAGAAGTGCCGTTGTTTTTTCACACCTGATTATGACTGTTTGTGTTACAGTCGAAACGTCATGAGAATTTTATTGTTTTAGATATATTTTATTATTTTATTGTTTCCCTTCAACGTGACTTTACCGAAAGAACCAAGAATATGAATAACTGCAGTCACGAAAGCTTTAAATGAAAATTTAGAACTCATATAGTTTGAGTCCTGTAAAAAAGAACATGTACAGCAGGCGTTGAAGGAAATGTTGGCGGCTGATATGATTTCACCATCAACCAGCCCTTGGGGAGTCCCTGTGGTGTTGGTCAAAAAACCGGACGGAAGTTTAAGGTTTTGCGTCGACTTTCATAAATTGAACAAAGTCTCAGTGACAGACGCTTATCTGCTTCCACGTATGGATCATTCCCTGCATGTGTTGTCGGGCGCTCGGATTCTTTTCAACATTGAACCTGTCGGGGTTTTGGCAACTACCCGCGTGGACGAGCAGTTACGAGTGGAAATTACAGGGTTGATAAATAATAGAGGGCGAGTTGCAACAAGAGGGAATCAACAGGGAAGTTCGGGAACAGGCCAGAGAGTTCTAGAAAGCGGGGGGGGTCAGGGGCGGAGTTAGGGACACACCGGAGATAAAAGGAGGCGAGGAGCAAGGTTCAAGGCTGCCGTGGGATCGGGGTCGCCGCTGTCTTGACGTCGCCGCTGCCTTCGCGTCTTTGCTATTTGCGCGTCATCCCTGGCCCAAGTTATCTGCGTGCCATCCCTGGCCAAGTTATCTTCGTTAAGCGCCCTAATCAAAATAAAGCCCTCTACAGCTTGTCTCGTCTGAGAGACATTACACTAGTAACGAATTGGCATGTTCTGTTTACTTGACAAACCTTACGTATGTGCTGTCGAGTGGTGGCGGGTTTAACGACATATTTATATTTACGTGATCTAAACCATAAAAACCTCAATTATAGATAGTATTTTTTTATTAATTTGTATGTATCTATGTACTGCTTCTGCACTGTTTGTTTTGCGCGCCACAGTACCGCCACTGATGATAGGCCGCTTCGTTGATGGCCAGGTCGCTTCTGATAAAGAGCTATGTGGCTCAGTGGTGGGCCTTACCTGGTAAAATAAAACAAAGAGTCTACTACGTAGTTTTCACTTCACGTGTATCTGTTCTCAGAGCAAAAAAAATTGCCTTCACGTTGTGTACCTTCACAGTCGTGCAGACACGCTCGTGCTTTCGAACGACCGATGTATCGCGCGGCATTTTCTCAACATTTCTCTCTCTCGGTCGGCTTCTCGAGTGTTTAAATTTCCGTTCCACGAGACCTGCCCCCTCTGTGTAGTACACATACTCCACCCGCGCTAGCAAATTAACAAAGGTCCCAGCCAAGGACTCGCTCTCACTCGACATGCTTGCTTGGAGCCTCCTCCTTCACTCTTCCCGCGTAGACCTCAACATTCGTTCCCAAAGCTGAGATTGGGCCTCCCGTGTGCCACCTTCACCCCAGCCGCGTCTCACAGCCAGGGCTTTCTTCCTGTTCCTGCTTCACGATCGAAAGGAGAACCGAAGAATCCTCCCCCCCCAGTTCGACCTTCACCCCTGCCCACGTCTCAGAGCTGGCGATCCCTCCGCGCTCCCGCTTCACGATCGGCAGGGAGGCGGAAGGATCTTCACCGTCGCATTCCACCTTCACCCCTGGCCACGTCGCAAAGCTGAGGGTCTTTCCGTGTTCTGATGTCAGCGATGCCGAGGGGGTCGCCGCGGGACCCTCACCCCCGAGGCTCGCCACGACCTTCCGGGCGCGGTGGCGGAGGAAGGGAGGACTGGCTGGCGGCGTCGACGCGCTCGAACCCGCGCGGGCCCGCCGGCGTGCCCGGAGGCTTCCCGCCCCGGAGGAGGCCTTCCCGCGCGTGGGGCACGCGAAGGGCCCCCCGCCCGCGTGCGTCCTCTTGTGCACGCGGAGGGTGCCCAATTGCGTGAACGACCTGCCGCACACGTCGCACGCGTACGGCCTCTCGCCCGTGTGGGTGCGCTTGTGGATGCCCAGGTTGCCCGACTGGGCGAAGGACTTGCCGCACGTGGCGCACCTGTAGGGCCTCTCGCCCGTGTGGGTCCTCGCGTGTATGACGAGGACCCTTGACTGTGCGAATCGCTTCCCGCACACCGCGCACCCGTAGGGCTTCTCGCCCGCGTGGGTTTTCTCGTGGTTGAAGAGCGTCCCCGACTGGTTGAATGCCTTGCCGCACGTGGCGCACCTGTACGGCTTCTCGCTAGTGTGGACCCGACTGTGGATGACGAGGTTGTCTGAGCGCGTGAACTCCTTGCTGCACACGGTGCATGCGTACGGCTTCTCGCTCGTGTGGATCCTTTGGTGGTTGAGGAGGTGGTGCGACTGAGTGAAGTCCTCTCCGCAGACGTTGCAGCGGTAGGGCCTCTCGTCTGCGCGGATCCTCCCGTCCGGTGAGGCGTCTCCTGGCGGTGGGACGAACGCCTTCCCGCGTCGCGCCCGCTTCATGTGCACGCTCTGATGGGAGCAGAAGTCTCCCGAATTTGCGAAAACTTCATCGCACATCCAGCACTTGTAGAGCTTCTCGTCGGCGTGGCTCCTCTGGTGGCCGATCAGAGTGGCCGCTTTGTCCGTGCTGTACGGGCAGTGGGGGCACTGGTACAGCACGGGCTCGGTGCGGCCCCTGTGCCGCTTCATGTGGTCCTCCAGGGCGGGCAGGCTGATCACCACCCAGTTGCAGACCGGGCAGTAGATCTTCATCTCTCCTCCCTCGTTCATCGTTCCCGTCCTGGCACTGGGGCAAAGAGTGAGGCACACGAAGGAAAATTAATCTCCCCCGCCCTGCCCCTGTGAAGTATCGCAATTAAGTCGTGAAACTAGAAACCACGGACACCGGTTGCTAACTGTAGAACAAAGGCGGTGGTCACCGCCGCGTCGCGTGGCGATGCTGCTGCTTGTGGTGGACGTCTAGAACGCTCTTCCTCTCTGGTATGAGGAAGCCACTGGGAGCTACGATGCACTTTTAAATGATCATGAAGATTGACAAGCTCATTTACTTAGAACTGCCGCTTGTTGTTGTGTTGTTTTTTTCCCCTCACTTCCGTTTAGCGCAGTTGGCTACTGATCTGTTGTTATTTTTGCTGCCTTGCCCAATCTTGATAAATCCGACTTAAACAATTAATTTCCATTTTGCGACTTGCTTACCTTTAGTTATATTTTGCACTCCTATAGTGTGTGTGTATCGTGTGTTTGTGTTTCGTGTGTGTGTGTGTATCGTGTTTGTGTGTATCGTGTATTTGCGTGTATCGTGTGTTTGTGTGTATCGTGTTTGTGTGTATCGTGTGTTTGTGTGTATCGTGTGTTTGTGTGGTACTGTGTGTTTGTGTGTATCGTGTGTTTGCCATTGAAAAATCACTGACTCCCCATGCCCATACTCAACATCTGTTGAGAAGAGCTTTATAGCTCATCTGATTCCTCCTGCAGTCTAAATAAAGATTCTGATTCTGACTGAGATGACGAGCAGATGCACCACCTGTGCCCCCTACTGTGCAAACTTGTTGTGTTTTAGTCGCCCGGCGCTCCACTCATTGTTGTGAGCGTCGCTCCTCTGCCCTCCGTTGTTGCTGCAACTGCCCAGTAGTAGCGTCCTTCACGAGCCTCCTCCTCCTCCACAGAGGCCGATCTTGACACCGCTGGTACCAGCCATCAGCAAGTCCACTCAGCTCCACATCCTCCTGTACCGCATCAGCGCCATCTCATCTCCAGCCCGTACTGCGCCCGTTTAGCCCCCCTCTATCCGGCCAAAGAGAAGCTGCTTGGGCGTGCAGTGGATGGGCATGCGAGCTACATGACCCAGTCAACGCAGCCTTGGAGGAGCTCGCCGATGATAGGGACCCTGTCCAGATCTTTGTGAGCTCCTCACACTGCGATTCAGCCCGCAGGTTAAACCCACGATGGATCTTCGGCAGGGTCGGCCTGCAAGTTGCAAACCGGCACAGACACAACAACAACAACCGCCATTCGCCACAAAGTGGCGGTGAAGTCACCACGGCGCCTGTGCCAGGCTAGGTGCACTTTGAGGCCGTCACGTGAAGTGTCGAGGGCTCACTGCTGGCAGGAGGTCACTGGACAGAGACGCAGACACGAAAATTAAAAAGATCCCTCGCATAGATTTTGACTTGAAACCTTTGGTGACCGCAGGAATTGAAATTCTTTGGTTCTTTCGGTAAAGTCTCGGAGATAGAAAATACAAATAAAATTAAGTAAGTAATATTTTTAAAACACTTTTTTTTTTAAAACACGCTTTAATGAAATGTACCGTACTTAGTAATGGAAGAACTCCACGACTCCAGGAAGTTGGCCCCGAAGTTCCCCACGACGTAAGGCAGGGGTCACCAAACTTTTTTCACAGCGGGCCGGATAACTGAAAGAATGACGAGCGCGGGCCGCATAATAAATACATATTTCTGGAGCGTCGGACCTGTGCTGACAGCTGGAAAATCTTGGGGCGGGAAAGATGCGTGTTTGTGTGTGTTGCCATGGAAACCATGGTAACGTGTTGCCATGACGTTGCCATGGAAACCATGGTAACGTCAGAGCGTAGGCGGAGCTACCACGAGCCGGGGAAGGACTTGGGATGGCGCGAAATAAGCAAACATTACAATAAACAAGAAAATCTAGATGCAATAATTTAACATTTAAAATAGTAAATTTAAGGAACATAGCAGTCAGGAGGTCTCCGCACGCGTGAAGATCTCCTAGTATTCTAAACATATTTAAATTGTATCACAACGTCTCGTGTTCCATACGTTCTATCAACCAAATTCAAGTACCGTCGGCGGGCCTGATGGACTGACGTCGCGGGCCGCATTCGGCCCGCGGGCCGCATTCGGCCCGCGGGCCGTAGTCTGGTGATCCCTGACGTAAGGGGACCGTGGTCAAAATTACAGCCAACGTCAGTTGACCGTGGGCAACATAACAAATATAAAAAATAATGTTTAAAAATATATATATCGTTTTTAATGATATAATATAGCATTGTCATCAGTATGACATAAGTATACCAAGTTTGCAGTCGATACCACATTGGCAAGTGGGTTAAAATCGAGTTACAAGATTTGAGGTATACAACGACAACAGGCAGAGTGAGTTAATAAAAAGCGTGTCAAAAAAAACCCCACGACGTTTCGATCGCAACACAAGCAGCCTTCGTCAGGAGGCGGCGAGAAAATAGGACCGCTTGTGTTTTTATTATTACAATTTTTATTTTATTTTCTTAAAATTTCTATCCACCGAAATAACCAAAAAAGATCCCCCGTGTAGCCTCACCAGACTGCTGGGGCAAGTGCTGTTAGCGAGCACCTACGAAGGCCGGCACGGTACACGGGGGGGTGGGTGGCCATCACCACGCCCGGCCGCCTTTGTCTCTCCCCCAGTGGCGACGCTTACCACACACACACACAGCACCAGGTACACATTTGAGGCTGAGTCGACCTAGGGGAGGCCCAGGAACCGGTTCAGGTAATCGTCACCGGCGGTGTTGGCCGTGAGCAGGGTCGCCGGGTTCGTAGCGCTAACCGCTGCACCACCGCTCCCCACAGTGGCAGGCACACGCACACACAAAGATAAAGATCCCCCAGGTAGCCTCACAGAGGCTCTGCAGTCGCAAGTGCTGCTGTTAGTGGCGAGTAGCAGTACCTATGGAGGCCGGCACGGCACGCGAGGGGGTCGGTATCCAGCACCACGCCCGGCCGCCTTTGTCTCTCCCGCAGTGGCGATGTCGAACTTCACAACCACGCAGAGACACGGAGATCTAGACTCTCTGTCTCTGTGCGTGACGTCAATTCACGGCGTCCACAGGCCCCCCCCGCAACCCGGGCGTTGGTGACATGACGTCACGCAACATGCAGTCGCGAGCAACTGACGTCATCACCCGTTATAAAGACACCCCCCCCCCCCCGCACAGGATCGACGACGTCACGTGCCGGGTACGGGGGTGGGGGGTGGCGTCACTCGCATCTCCCAGCGGCCCGCCACTAGTGACGTGACGTCACGCTCGCGGCGCGATTGACGATACGACGTCAAACTTGGCGCGCGCCTGCCAGTCAGAGTGGCGGGGTGGTGATGGTGTAGGGTGACGTCACGAAGGGGGCTGGATGCGAGTGACGTCACCGCTACAAAGACAAAGATCCCCACCCGTGTAGCCTGTGACAGACTGTAGGGGCAAGTGCTGTTAGCGAGTCGAGGGGGTGGGTGGCCAGCAACCACCCCCGGCCGCCGTTGTCTCCCCCCGCAGTGGGAAAACATTTACACACCGCCACACCAGGTAGGACTCATTTGAGGCTGAGTCGACCTAGGGGAGAGGCCCGGGACCGGTTCAAGTTAATCGCCGTCACCCGCGAGCGAGATTCGAACCCCAAGCGACGGTGACGTCACCGCGGCGCCCGTGCCAGGCCAGGTGCGCTTCGAGCCGATACACGACGTCATACCACCGTCCCCAGCTGAAACCTCCCCCCGGCCGCGCACGCCTCCATCCCGAGCGTGACGTCACCCAGCCATCTTCGGGCGCGATGACGTCACGCGCGCGGTGGGGCTGCGAGTGAGTGACGTCACCGGCGAGGGAGACAGCGGCCCGGGTTGTGTGCGAGGCGCGCTGCGGTGAGCGGTGGTGAGGACTCATCATCGGTGAGCGGTGGTGAGGGCTCATCGGTGAGCGGTGGTGAGGTCTCATCGGTGAGCGGTGGTGAGGACTCAACGACAGCGGCAGTGGTTGTCACAGCGCCGGCTTTCGTAGGTGGCTATGAGATGTTGACTACCCCGCCTGGTGTACAGGAGGTCGTGGGTTTGATCCCACCCCTGACGCCTGCTGCTGCTGTAGATTTGGAGTTTTACATGTATCTCATTCATCATCATCATCACGGTGGCTAGGAGATGTTGACTACCTCGCCTGGTGTACAGGAGGTTGTGGGTTTGAGCCCACCCCTGGCGCCTGCTGCTGCTGTATATTTAGAGTTTTACATGTATCTCATTCATCATCATCACGGTGGCTAGGAGATGTTAACTACCTCGCCTCGTGTACAGGAGGTCGTGGGTTTAATCCTACCCCTGACGCCTGCTGCTGCTGTATATTTTGAGTTTTACATGTATCTCATTCATCATCATCACGGTGGCTAGGAGATGTTGACTACCTCGCCTGGTGTACAGGAGGTTGTGGGTTTGATCCCACCCCTGACGCCTGCTGCTGCTGTATATTTAGAGTTTTACATGTATCTCATTCATCATCATCACGGTGGCTATGAGATGTTGACTACCTCGCCTGGTGTACAGGAGGTCGTGGGTTTGATCCCACCCCTGACGCCTGCTGCTGCTGTATATTTGGGGTTTTGCATGTATCTCATTCATCATCATCACGGTGGCTAGGAGATGTTCACTACCTCGCGTGGTGTACAGGAGGTTGTGGGTTTGATCCCACCCCTGACGCCTGCTGCTGCTGTATATTTGGAGTTTTACATGCATCTCATTCATCATCATAGTGGCTAGATGTTAACTACCTCGCCTGGTGTACAGGAGGTTGTGGGTTTGATCCCACCCCTGACGCCTGCTGCTGCTGCTGCTGTATATTTAGAGTTTTACATGTATCTCATTCATCATCATCACGGTGGCTAGGAGATGTTCACTACCTCGCTTGGTGTACAGGAGGTTGTGGGTTTGATCCCACCCCTGACGCCTGCTGCTGCTACTGTATATTTGGAGTTTTGCATGTATCTCATTCATCATCATCACGGTGGCTAGGAGATGTTAACTACCTCGCCTGGTTTACAGGAGGTTGTGGGTTTGATCCCACCCCTGACACCTGCTGCTGCTGTATATTTGGAGTTTTACATGTATCTCATTCATCATCATCACGGTGGCTAGGAGATGTTCACTACCTCGCCTGGTGTACAGGAGGTTGTGGGTTTGATCCCACCCCTGACGCCTGCTGCTGCTGTATATTTAGAGTTTTACATGTATCTCATTCATCATCATCATCACGGTGGCTAGGAGATGTTCACTACCTCGCTTGGTGTACAGGAGGTTGTGGGTTTGATCCCACCCCTGACGCCTGCTGCTGCTGTATATTGAGAGTTTTACATGTATCTCATTCATCATCATCACGGTGGCTAGGAGATGTTAACTACCTCGCCTGGTGTACAGGAGGTTGTGGGTTTGATCCCACCCCTGACACCTGCTGCTGCTGTATATTTAGAGTTTTACATGTATCTCACCGTGTTCAGCGTGGATTTATCTCCGGGTCCTCCGTATTTTTTTTCCCTCCACGTTCCGAAACACGGCCACGAGGCGACGCAGTTTTTTTTTTTGCTTGCGTTGCGATCGAAACGTCGTGATGAATTATTATTTTTTCTACCTACGTGACTTCACCGAAAGAACCAAAGAGTATGAATGGCGCAACGTTACTTAGGCTTCGGCGAGTGTGACCGTGGCCGCCTCTCGTCCTAGTCACCCATTCACCACGAGGCCTTGGCATTGCCAAACGCGGCGGCTTTTAGGAACGTAACCCCCTACGCGGTTGGCGAGGGGATCACTGTGTCGAATGTGAAGGCGTAAAAGGAAGGAATTTCCGCGTGCCTCCCTGCGTGCCCCAGTGCTGACACGGACGGACAGACGGACGGACGGAGCGGAGATGAAGATCTTCTGCCCGATCTGCAAGTGGCTCGTGGTCAGCCTGCCCGCCCTGGACGACCACATGAAGCGGCACAGGGGGTGGACGGAGCCCGCTCTGTTCCGGTGCCCCCACTGCCCGTTCAACACGGACAAGCTGAACGTGTTCATCGGCCACCAGGCGACGCACGACGCGCGCGAGTCGCACAAGTGCGCCGAGTGCGGCAAGGTGTTCATCGACGCCGAGGTCTTCCGCGAGCACCGGGCGGCGCACGCCCGGGAGAAGCCCTACAAGTGCACGATGTGCGAGCTGGCGTTCAACCGCTCGGAGGATCTTCACGAGCACCAAAAGACGCACGCCGGCAGCAAGCCCTACCACTGCACCGTCTGCGGCACGGAGTTCACGCGGTCGGAGCACCTCCGCAACCACCAGAGGATCCACACGGGCGAGAAGCCCTACGGGTGCGCCACGTGCGGCAAGAGGTTCGCGCGGTCGGGAGCGCTCGTCATCCACAACAGGATCCACACGGGCGAGAAGCCGTACGTGTGCGCCGCGTGCGGCAAGGCGTTCACGGAGTCGGGGGCCCTGAGCGTGCACAGGAGGACCCACACGGGCGAGAGGCCCTACAGGTGCACGGTGTGCGCGAAGGCGTTCGCAGACCCGGGGACCCTCTCCACGCACAGCAGGATCCACACGGGCGAGAGGCCGTACGCGTGCGCCACGTGCGGCAAGGCGTTCGCGCGGTCGGACACGCTCGTCAATCACAAGAGGGTCCACACGGGCGAGAGGCCGTACGCGTGCGCCGTGTGCTGGAAGGCCTTCGCCGAATCGGGTGCACTGAGCGCCCACAAGAAGATCCACGCGAGGGAGAGGCCCTGCGACTGCGGCGAGGGCGGGGAGGCGTCGGCGCCGTCGGGCGGCCCCCCCGCCGCCGGAGGCGCGGACGCGGACGGAGGGAGCGTGACGAGGAGGAAGAAACGCCGGGCGCGCCCGGCCGGCGCGGGGGCGACGGCCGCCCTGCCGGAGCCGCTTGGGGGCGAGCGCGCGACTTTCCCCGGGGGGGGCGACGGCGAGCCCTGACGGCGAGAGTCCGGCGGCGAGCCCTCCTCCTGCGCCCGCCGCGTCGGAGGGAGGACGCCGGGAAAAGCCGGCCAGCTTCGTCGAGACGCGCCCGGAGGTAATGAAGGCGGAGAGTGGGGGCGGAGACGCTTCCGCGTCCTCGGCGACGGTGAAGGAGGAACGGGAAGGGGACGCCGGCGGCTTCGAGGCGTGGCCGGGGGTGAAGGTGGAGCCCGGTGGCGAGGCCGTTCCGTCCCGCCCCCCCTCCCAGCCGACCGTGAAGCGGGAGCCCGAAGACGGCCACGGGAGCCGGACGGAGCCGGGGGTCAAGGTGGAACGCGGAGGTCAGGACTCCTCCGTCTCCCTGTTGAGCGTGAAGCAGGAACCGGAGGAAATCCTCGGTTGAGACTCGGCCCGAGGGGAAGGGGTAAAGTTAGAGCTCGGAGCTCAAGATTGCTCGGTCTTCCTGTCGAACGTGAAACGGGAACTGGAAGGACGAGGTCCTCGTTTGAGAACCGATGTCAAGGTCGATGCAGACGACATGGAGATGGGAGGAAGACGCCGGACAGCCGTGGACCGCCGTTGACGTGAAAGTATCGCTAAAGAATGGGGTCGAGATAAGAGGGTGGAGGGTGGATCACGTGGAGCAGAGGTCAGACCCCTTTAGATCTCTGCAGAAGCACCAGGAATGTGAGTGTGCATGTCTGTGTATGGGAAGCGGTGGTGCAGCTGGTTAGCGCTACGCTGCGCTAAGAACCCGGCGACCCGAGTTCGATTCCCGCTCACGGCCAACACCGGTGACGATTATCTGAACCGCTCCTGGGCCTCCCCTAGGTCGACGTGGCATGAAATTAGTTCCTGGTGCGATGTGTAAATTTTGCTGCTGGGGAGACAAAGGCGGCCGGGCGTGGTTCCTGGCCACCCCACCCCCTCGTGTGCCGGCCTTCATAGGTGCTGGCTAATGGCACTTGTCCCAACAGTCTGTTACGGCCTATACAGGGGATCTTTGTGTTTTTTTCGTATGTTCAACTTCTTTCGCACCATACGTAGCCAACCGTGCTAATTGGTGGTGCGATGCGTAGCGCGGCGGTTTCTTAAAAAAAATGTTTGGCCTCCGCAGCCGATGCAAACATTTCCACATGGGACTGCCCAGTCGCCCCTAGTGACAAAAACGCATTAAATTGTTTCTCTCTCGACCTCTAAACACCACACCACAAATACTAAAATTATTATTACTGGAACATTTGTCTGTCTTTTTTTAAAACAAAGATATTGGGGGGGTGGGGTTTAAGAGGGGGTGGCTCCTTTTTAGATGTTAGGGTATGATTCTAATACCCTAACAACTTCATTTTAATGAAATGTAAGTTACAAAAAATTTAATGCATTTCTTGAACAAAATTGGACAAATATTGGAGAAATCTCTCTTATCCCAAGGTAAGATTTTTGTTGTAGGTACAGTAAATATTTATTAAGGCTGTTAAGTGATTTGGTCGTTAAGCAACTATAGGAAATGCACGTTAAAGGCTTAATCCGTTCCGACAGGATCTAAAGTTCACCCTTTTTCACCCTAAAAAACGTACTTATATAATATTTGAACGATGGATATTAATACGTAAAGATACTACCAACATCATGGAGACCTTTGCCAGTACCAAAATATGAGAATAGTTTTTCCCCTTTTTCTGGCAACAAAACAGCTGTGTTAAGATGTTAAAACACCAAACTGAAACCTTTTACAAGGAATCATGTCTGCAACACATTCCTGCGGAGGGAGCTGGTAGGAACGTTGGGTTGCTCGGTCAATGGCCAGGGTCAACGGCGGCACCACGTGGTGTATTCCGTAAATATGCCCAACTGTGAGGGCGGGCACAAGCCGGCGTGATTAGGTTAAACGTTGAGTTTCATAAGGGCACCACGGGGTGACCAGCCCCTCCCCACCCAGCCCCACCCCTCCCACCCCCCACCCAGCCCCACCCTCTCCACCCAGCCCCTCCCCACTCTCCCCTCTCCACCCAGCCCCTCCCCACCCTCCCCTCCCCACCCTCCCCTCCCCACCCTCCCCTCTCCACCCAGCCCCACCCCTGGATGCACGACGGACGGACACAATAATCCCCTGTGGGCTGGTGGTGTAACCAGGAGGTTCCTACACAGCATTAACCACAATACTTGTGGTCAGAACGCAAACAAAAAACGTACTCTGATAATATATGCATTGTATTTGAAACCGATTGGGCCACACCATAGACAGCTTTTACACTCTGGTCCTTTCGGTAAAGTCACGTAGGTATAAAATAAGCAGACCACGCTTTCCCACCTGATGACGGACGCTTGTGTTGCGCCCGGAACGTCGTGCTTTATTTTAATTTGATACCTACGTGGCTTTACCGATTGAACCAAAGAGTATGGATTCCTGCAGTCACGAAAGCTTCAAATCAAGAGAGACAGATTTCTTTTGAGCCTAGCCCCAAAACGCCTTGTGGCGTCCTCTGGCATAACACCGTTTTGAGACGAGGCTCAAAAGAAAGCCGTCTCTGGTGTGGACCAATCAGTTTCAAGGACAATGCATTTGTTATCAGCGTACATTTTTTTGTTTGCATTCTGACCACAAGCATTGTGGTTAATGCAGTTACATGATGCCTCGTAATAGGTTTCAGTTTTTTTTACATCTTAACACAGCTGTTTTGTTGCCAGAAAAAAAGGGGAAAACCTATTCTCGTACTACCAACAGTATTAACACATAATATTAAAAGAAATGTGGTTAATGCGTTAATGAATATTTACTGTACCCACGACAGTCCGTCGTTAACAGGGGAATGGTCGGTAAGCGAACACATTGAGCTCTATTGAGGCACTACACTACACTGTACACTACTATACACTACACTACTATACACTACACTACTATACACTACACTACTATACACTACACTACTATACACTATACACTACACATTGAGCTCTATGGAGGCACTACACTACACATTAAGCTCGATAGAGGCACTACACTATACACTGCACTATACACTACAATACACTACGCTACTATACACTACACATTGAGCTCTATTGAGGCACTACACCACACTATACACTCCACTATACACTACACATTGAGCTCTATGGAGGTCCATCGTTAAGCGATAAGTCGTTAACGGAAGGCGCTCGTTAAGAGGGGTTCTACACTACACTACTATACACTACACTATACACTACACTACTACACACTACACTACTATACACTACACTACTATACACTATACTACTATACACTACACACTACTACACACTACACTACTATGCACTACTATACACTACACTACTATACACTACACTACTACACACTACACTACTATACACTATACTACTACACACTACTATACACTACACTACTATACACTACACTATGCACTACACTATACACTACACTATACACTACACTGTACACTACACTATACACTACAGTATACACTACACTACTACACACTACACTATACACTACACTGCTACACACTACACTACTATACACTACACTATACACTACACTATACACTACACTACTATACACGATACACGTTGTGCTCTGTGAAGGCCCGTCGTGAAGCGATTAGTCGTTAACGGGGGGGCGCTCATCATAATCATCGTCGTCACCATCCCTGCGAACTACCCGGAGTGCCACTGCGGACTCCCGTTGGACCCGGGAACCGCACTCTGTGAACCACTGCTCTCAGTGATACCCCTTAGACCAGCGGTCCCCAACCTTTTTGGCACTAGGGACCGGTTTCGTGGAAGACAATTTTTTCACGGACCAGGGGGTGGGGGGGGGGGGGAGTTCATCATTGGGTCTTTCCCCCTTTTCAAAGAAGCTTTCCAGCGACGTTTGTTTGTTACTCATTGTGGCTACTAGCGGTTAGAGCTTGTGGGCTTTATACCAACACTGACTGAGACTGAGTGCGCGGTGCGGGAAAGAGGCACGGACGGAAGTGGTAAATAGAATAATGGGCGCGGGTCACGCGCATGGACTCGCCGCTCACCTCCTGCTGTGCGGCCCGGTTCCTAACAGGCCACGGACCGGTACCGGTCCGCGGTCCCGGGGGTTGGGGACCCCTGGCCTAGAAGATTCCTGAGAATACATACGAAAGAATGACTCTGGCTCTTGTGTTTGTCACCAAGGTAAGATCTTCGTTTCACGGCAAGGGTCCACACCTTCGTGCCCGCTCTGTCTCTCCCGCAATGCCACGAACTCTGCCTCCTGCTCCCGCTTTTAACCTCTTCCTGACTCCTCACCTCGCCGCACTCCGTCTCCACCAATCATAATATTTTACCGTCACCTGGACTAACCATCCCACCTGATGCTCACTCACCCAACCTTTCCACTCACCCACCAACTCACCCACTCGCCCCCTCTTTTAACCTCTTCCTGGCTGCGCACTCCCATCTCCAGCAATCATCTCTTGCCCTCACCTGGCCTAACCGTCCCACCTGATGCTGACTCACCCAACCCATCCACTCACCCACTGACTCACCCACCCACTCTCTTTTAACCTCTTTCTGACTCCGCACCTCATCGCACTCCGTCTCCACCAATCATAATCTTTTACCGTCACCTGGACTAACCGTCCCACCTGATGCTCATCCACCCACTGACTCACCCACCCACTCACCCACTCCCTATTTTAACCTCTTCCTGGCTCCACACCTCGTCGCACTCCGTCTCCGCCAATCATCCTCCCTTGCCCTCACCTGGCCTTACCGTCCCACCTGATGCTCACTCACCCACCCACTCAGCCACCCATTCACCCACCCACCCACTCACCCACTCCCTCTTTTAACCTCTTCCTGGCTCCGCACCTCGCCGCACTCCGTCTCCACCAATCCTCCCTTACCTAGCCTAACCGTCCCACCTAACCCTCACCCACCCACTCACCCACCAACTCACCCATTCGCTCACCCACTCACCCACTCGCCCCCTCTTTTAACCTCTTCCTGGCTGCGCACTCCATCTCCACCAATCATCACCTCTTGCCCTCACCTGGCCTAACCGTCCCACCTGACGCTCCCCCAGCCATGCAGCTCTTTTCCCTTTTGAACGTTCCGGCCAATCTGCTTGGCTCGCCGTGCTCTAACCAATCGGAGCGTGGAGTGTTTGCTCTCCATCCTTCTTGATTACTGTGTCCCAGGGATACACATACACACGTGGTTGTGAATTTAGACTCAAGACCTATTGTCACGCTTGACGATTTAGTCTTCAAATAAAACAATGGCATGTCGAACGAATATGTAGGAAATTGCACGTACGGCTCGGTCAGATGTTGACTTATAATACGTGCAGTA